AAAGACTAGGAATAGTATCATACTGCATCTTTCTACTAAGAGATGATTCTTTTAAAATACAAAACAAGATTAGCTCAGCTAGTTCATCTTTTTATTTTCAGTTTTGTAAAAAAAAAAGCTTTGAGAAAATGTGTTCAATATCAGTAAAGGGCAGGGAAACACATGGTTGGTTTTACAATAGCAATCTAAACATCTACACAAAGGCGAACATTAAGTAAAATGCTAGGGAAAGATAGCACTTTGGGGGCCTACTGCAGTTTTCCTTATTGCACATAAAAGTTGCAGATAATTCCAAGTCTTTAATTTTTCACAGTTATAACATACTTCAATGTCATTTTATATAACATACAATGTTAATCTTATAAAACCACCAGTTTGTTACTGTTGAATGGAAGTAGAAGACAAAATTCTCCCCAAATACAATATGTAAGCGCTCTATAAAAGGTTTCCCGAAGATCACATCATTCCATGTTAAATTCATCCTATTCTACTTTAAAAAATTGTTTTTCACATATTAAATGAATCTTGGTGGCCTTCCCATTTGATGATTTTAATGGACATAGTAAAACTTTCAAGTAAGAAGTATTAGATGTACTTTATGTAAAAAATAAAAAGATAATCTACAAGGAGCTGACCTGAATATGGAGTCACACTTTGGATGAATGAATGATTGCAGTGAGAAGTTACAAATCCACACACTTAAAATCCACATAACTGAAAATCATTCCTCTGCTTCAGAGCCCACAATAGGAATAAACATGACAAAAGTCAGCCCCAAAATGTCCATGAAGTTAAGTCATCCAGTAACACCTGGATGGTAAAAGTGCTTTAGACAGTAGATGTCGAGTGCTTCATGCTGCTTACAGTCCTTTTACGAGTACCTCCAACATCAGGCCCAGACAACACTCTGAGGGCCAGGAGTTCAGAGCTGCCTGTGACTTGGAAATTCTGATAAGCTTTTTTTAAAAGGTAGCACAGCAGACAGACCTCCCTTCTCATCTTCCCCAAGGCTCTGATGGCCAAAAACAGGCTGCCTGTGCTCTCCATCTAGGCCATAGTTGTAGTATACCCTGCTTACAAAATAAAACACCAAAAACTTTGGTTTTACTTTTTACAAACTTTACTACCACTGGGTGACAAGGTATCTTTGCTACTTTTTTAAAAGTATGAAAACCGAAGCTGAAAAAGAAATGGTTTGTTTATCTAGGTCTTATTTTGAAAGGATTGTCAAAGAGTAAACTTCCTTTTCCTGGTTAGACACTAGCATTGATTTCTACAGTATCCTCTAATGCGTTGCTCTTCCTAGGTTGGAAAAAGGAGGAAAGTCTTTTCAGGTATTAGAGTAGTGAAAGCAGCATTCAGATAGGTTCCTAAATTATGACTCTTGGCCACTAGATTCCTTTAATTTAATGTATCAGAATGCAGCAGTTGACACTAGCAAGCCAGATTCTCACTTAAAGAACAACAAAAGAGAACAGAACTCAGTAATTCCAGTCTAAAGTATCTGACAGATTCCTGCCTGCACTAAATGACCTAAATGATCAAAAGGCAGGAATGAAGTTTGTCAAGCTCCCTCAATTATGAGGTGGAATAAGAAAGAATATAGTTAGCAGGTAAACCTCATTGCAGATTACATTTTACAATGAATGAGACAGTCAGCTTTTTGATCTACCTCTTAGAACTCACAATGGGGACAAGGCATGTTTCCAAGTGGATGATTTTTACCTCTGATAAGTTGCTCAATTTCCTTGCTACCAATCTTCCCTAAATGCATCGGTGGTGGTTTACATCGAATCTGACATGATTACATTAATTTCCACTGAAGACAAGGAAAGGGAATGAGATGGTGTAGGGCCATGGAAACAGAGCTGTTTTGGAAGGGACTATTAATTATTTGCCCTGAACTGAAATTTTCATAGATAGCCAAGGTAACATTTTGCATTTTTTTTCTAAAGAGGTTTCATTTGTCAACCAGACCACAAAGGACATTTGTGAGTCTAGAAAACACAGACAGCCTAAAGAGCTCCTTGCTGTTTTCTTGATGAGACAATGTGATTTCACAGTGTGATTTTTGGCATGAAGGCATCAACATTCATTCGTCTGGTCACTCCAGTGAGTACCCTGGATGTCAGTCCACATCTTTCCTGTGCTTATTTCCTAGGAAGAGATGCATCCATATTTAAATTCCAAAAATCCTTATCTAGGAAGGTTTAGGTTTCTTGATGGTTTCTGCAAAGAGTACTATTAAAAAGAATAAGGGTTTTTATCTTCTCTCTGTTGTAATTAAACCACTTCCACCAGGTGACAGCAAGACGATCACAACCTTCCCCTGTGCTCTGGCAGTAAACGGGCCTACTCTTATTCTAAGAAATCCAACATGAATTTAGGCATAGGGACAAAAAAGCAAAAACAGTCTGACCACAAAAGGGACTGTTAACTTAATTCCATATTAAATTTCAAAGATCATTTCCCAGAAACCTTCATGTTTGATTAGCCAACAATTATGACAAACCCTTTATTTTCCCCTCACAAATGGGAATGAAGATGACATTTTAAATTCTCCATATATATATACACACACACACACACACACACACACACACACATATATTATACTCAAGTCACTCTCCTCTCTCAAAAGCTCTAAGTTTCTCAAATGTGACCCAAGCAATTGTACTTTATGGAGTATGTTCCTGAGTTCTGCAAAGGTTAGCATAAAACTCTCTTACAGCTGCCTAGACTCTGTTACAGATCAATACTCAGTTTGGCCCTCATGACTAACAATTAAAAACCAAACCCTTAATTTGCTAAGCCACTCTTTAGAGTTCCAAACAGGGTTCACTACAAGCTCTAAAAAAAAAAGGCTCTCAGCTGTGGCCGCACATGAGGACTTCCTGAAGTTCTAAACCAGAGCACAGATGCCAGGCCCCAGCCCAAAGATACTGAATCCCAATCTCAGAGTTTGATGCTCTGATGTAAAGTTTTTAATTTGTTTTTTAAAAAACTGGCCAGATGATCCTACTGTGCAGCCAGAATTCAGAACCTTTCCTCTAGAATATCCTACTGTACCAAACCGTCACTCCCTCAAGCCAGAACAAATTAACTGGGCATGACTTTCTCAGGAGAACTTTATTTAGTTGGACACACACAACTTAGCACTTTAAGGCTGGTTTTCAATGCCAGACTGACAACAGCAGATGGTTGGCCTTGAGTTGGATGGTTCCTGTACTTTGTGGCACCCTACTTTTCTCCATTCAGCCTAGGCATAAAGCTTCTGGATATGAAACCATTTCAACAAATAGACTGACCTTCCCAGGACCCCTGGTAAATTCAGAATGTTCTCCCCATCTTGTGAACAAGAATGAGGGCCACAGGTCAAAGTGACTTACTTTGATCCATTGCATAAAAGACTTAATCAAATATTTACAACCCTAGTTTGGTCTTGGCAAATCTGCATTTACTTATATTTAAGTAGGTCAGAATAAATGGTTTGCAATGAAGACTACAAGACCCTTTGGGGAAAATATAACAATCTATGAATTGACCTAAGACTAGGCTGGGAAGCGTAGTGGCTATTTTTCTTCCCTAGCAGGGTAATTTCTTATAATCTGCTGAAAGCTTTTTAGGAACTCCCAAAGACAACAAAGGCTTGAGATGAATGAAGACAGGGTATATCCTACTTGGTTGGCTTTGTACAAGAACAATTATCATGGCTTTTCTGTTAGCTTTTTCCCTTCTAAAATTAAGCAACATATAAGCAAGGCTTTATAGAGACCAACTACAGAGTGTCAACATATTCCTTCCTCTATCCCTTCAAAAAAACCAAAAAAAAGCTAGGGGCAGTGGTGCCCACCTATAATTCCAGCTACCTGGGAGGATGAGGCAGGAGATCACGAGCTCAAGTACAGCCTAGGATACTTAATGAGACCCCTACCTTAAAATCAGTAACAACTCACAAAAATACGTGTCACCTTTTAAGCTTATACAGCATGACTGACCATCACTAAAATAACTACTAAATAAATACTCATGTGCTGGCTTTGGGCCTGAGCACACACATACAACTCCAAGATTCTTTCATGCCTATCAGCTGCTGTCTGCAATTTGCCCCTTCAACCTAACAGCCTTCCTTCCAGGGGCTCTTTAAGAAAGTTATTTCTCTGATTATGGGGCACAGGTATTTTGAAATCCTTCTCTACTTTAGTGACACTGAGGCCTGATGGAGTTAGGCAAGTTGTTTAGGGTTTTTCAAACTTACAAAGCCCATGGATGACCATAAAATAAAAAGTGGACTTTAGGGCCGGGATTTAGCTCAGTGGTTCCACGGCCTGCCTTGCAAGTGCAAGGTCCCAAGTTCGATCCCTGGTACCAAAACAAACAAACAAAAAAGGACTTTACTGTAGATAGAAAGGAAAGAGGCAAAAAAGATTCAATTATATTATATTATATCGATGTATATGAAACTGCCATTTCTGAGCTTTAAAAATAGTTAAATATTAGCAATTTCACATGGCTCAATATCATTAGATTTATTTGTACAAACTACTGATTCAAACACAGAACGCTGTGATGCTACGTCTTAGTTTAAAAAATAATTAGCCAGGAATCATGTTGCACACCTGCAGTCCCAGCTTACTCAAGAGGCTGAGGCAGGAAGATCACTTGAGCCCAGGGGATTGGGACCAATCTAGGCAATAGAGCAAGATCCCCCTGTCTCTAAGGGGAAAATCTAACCATTAAAAATGTGTGTTAAGGTTAAATGTCTGATATCATCATGGAGGTGCTAGACTGGGACACTATTTCATCTGCTATGAGGAGAAAAATGCCAGCATATTATGAAAGCTTTTGTAAAGAAACTATTTCCAAAAATGCTAGTGCTGAAGCACAGAGCTGGGGGGGGTGCAAAACTTTTCCCAAGTGTTCGCTCAGTATTCCACCTACTACAGGTGTGGGCAGGTAGCATAACATGCCCCAAATGAACTCTAACTAAATACCTAAACTTCAAACCACATCTACACATCAAGGTACTTCAAGAGCCTCCCCAGATACGAAGAAAATGACTCCTCGCTGTGTGGCACTTGGTATCAAAACATGTGGAGTCCTAATCTTACAGAAGATACAACTTTCTACTGGGTCAGATAATGTTTAATGGTCCACTGCCTTGCCTCCAGCTCCATGTGTGGCCACTGAAATCACACACATACATCAGCTCAAAGTTTGGAATCAAAGTTTGACCCAGTTTTGAGACTCCTAAATTATATTTTCTTTGCAGGTGATTTTTCAATGAGTTTTTCCCCTCTGAATACTAGCTTATTGCCTCTTCAGTTTCTTGTCGCCTTCTTTTCCTCAGATGTAAGCATCTTACAAATGTTGGTGTCATCTGTACCTCCTCAGTAGATAACTCAATGCTACTAATACTCCCCAGTCAGCTCGCATGTTAGCCTTCAAAAGGTGAGTGATTTCTGCAGTGATATTATGTTTCTAAACAGCTCCTGTCTTCAGACTAGTTTACAAAACAACAGTGCAACACTATTTGCCTTTGGTTTTAAACATTTCATAACTTCTTCCTTATGGAGATTTCCAGAGAAGGAACTGTACTTCTCCCCCCCATATTGAAATGTTCACAGATATGTTTTCTACTCTTCAGTCCAGAAGAAGCACATGTAGCAGAGACTCGGGAGTCCAGATAGAAGGATGCAGTTGTGCAGCCTTCCCTTCACTGCCAGAGCCTCCACTCAAACAGCCTTTTCTGTCCCGCTTTACACTAGTATCACAGCGATCCGAACTCAATTGCCTTCCTTCATGGTCTCTCTTCTAGAATGTTCCCCTTCACTTGGCATTCCTCCAGCCAGCCAGATGGGCACTGCTGAGTAGGGGGCTGAAGCCTGTCCTGGGCAGAATCCTCAATACCTGCCTCACCTTGGACAGATGTTGCAGGCTGATGAATTAAGAGACCATTAAAGCATGCTATGTTTTTGTTTGCTTAACTCCGAAACAGCGCACTACTATGTGAAAAAGTGGGAATAGGTCTGACACTTTATCTTCACTGTCTGCTTCTTGGGTTAAATTTTCAGTGTTAAGATAGCTTCAGACCCTGATAAAATAGAAGGTTACTTCAATCCAATCAAACAACACTGGGGTTGCAGCCATCCTCAACCCCTCCCCCCAGAGGCTGACCCCACTGCTTCTGAGTTTAGGGGAAAGTCACGCATTTTCCTGCAGAGGGAACACAAGGGGGGTTCCCCGGCTGGAAACCTTCTGGTCTCCCATTCCCAGGTCTCGCTCCAGCATTTCCTCAGCGCTGCTCTTTGTTCTCCGACCACCCTCAAGACTTGTGGACGCTGTGTGGGAGCCCGAGGAGCCATTCGCTGTAACTGTGCTGTCTCCATAGGTCAAGGTGAGGTCACCCTCAGTTAGGATGAAATCAGAGTCTTCCTCTCTCAGTGGTTCTTGGTTCTGAAAGGTACAACCAACAATTACAACAAAAATGGGAGACTGATAGCTTCTGAGGTTGGCACCCACCCCAACCTTAACTCAGCAGAAGAATGAAGATTATGATGAAACCTGCCTAACCTCAAACCTCTAGCGAGGTCACTGGGTGTAAACTGTAGGGGGCTATAATATAAGGCACTGTTCCTGAAGCCAGAACTGAACAGCAGGAAGTAGTTTTGATTTCAAGTGTCTGACAGTGCAGGGTTAGTGTCAAAGGGAAGACCAGCTGGATTTTCAGATTCCCAACCCACAAAGAAAGGAAGTTATGGGGAAGGTCACAGGGAAAACACTACAAATAGCTTCCCAGTCCTTTCCTCTCCTCTCCGGACACATCTTGTGTAGGGGCCTGCTGCCCTACCCAAACCACTCTAACCCCATCTTGTTTACATCTTTGTCCTAGTTAGCAACTCACAGAGAACACAAACCAGGATTAAGACTTCCTGTTCACCCTCTGCTGACTCCACAGGAAAACACTGACGGCAAGGCCTTCTCCTCTCACCCTCAGACAGATGCAGTGAATGGTAGAGGGGTGAGAGTATTTTATCGAACATCTATAGTGTGTCAGGCTGGAAAGTCACAGAAGTTCACTGGATCCTGACTCCTACCCTGTGAAGATCACAGACTAGAAACCTGAGCTGAGAGAACCACGAAGTATGCCTGAGGTTGTTCAGCTGACAGAAAGTAGAGACAAAACTGCTGCTGTTTCCAGACTGGTTTTATCTACACAAAGGATGTGAACCCCCCTCTCCATCAGAAAAATAATTGGAATGGCCTTGCATCCTGAGCAGTAGCTCTAGCAAAGCAGACAAGTCTAAACAAGGCAAGTTTTAACAGAATCATGGCCACTTGAAGCTACAGGGGGCAGGGTGTCAAGAGATAGCAAGAGGTCAGACAGAAACTTTCACCCATGGGTTTTGCAAGCAAAACAGGAGGGCCATAGCCCTCCTCTCCTGCTGCACTGAGGTCTGTCAAACACTATGAAGGCCTTTTTGAAATGACAAACACAGTGTCAAAATGCTGCAGGCAAACTGCTATGCTCTTTCTTGTTTCCTGTCTGCCCTTCAAAGCTTATCTGAAGTCCTATGTTCTCTCCACACCTCTAGCACATCTCACCCTGCTCAGTATGCTGCCCAAGGCAAAGGGCCTGCTCCCCCAGGTAAGCACCCCAACCCCATATCTAGGTGATAAATCACCAAAGGCAGTGAGCTTCTGTTCTGGGCATCCTTCCTCAATGGTGCTCATCTTATACTGGTCTAACAGCCCTAACCCTAAAATGCAAACTCGGGAATGTTCCATGAGTCTGATGGTTCAATGTATACAAACTTTGTTTCATGCACAAAATCATTATAAATATATAAAATTACCTTTGGGCAATAAGTGCAAGGCATATATGAAACATAAATTTTGTGTTTAGACTTTAGTCTCCTTCCCAAGATATTCCATTACATATATGCAAATATTCCCAAATCTGAAAAAAAAAACTAAAACACTTGATTCCAAGCATTTTCTAGTAAGGGGCACTCAACCTGTCATAGGAGCTATTTGAATGCCTTTTAAATGAACTGAGCTAGGAGGATTCATGGGTCAATTCTCCCTCACTTCTCCCCCACCCATCTCTGTGCACTTACTGGTGACAAGTACATGCTTGCCTTCTGCCCTATGTCAGTGATACAGACTTCTCCACCTGGTCCCCAGTGTGACTACACTTTAATCAATGTGCGGGAATTTTTGATAGGCAAGCTCGCTTGCTGCTTCAGATCCCCATGGAACATGGAATGAGACAGGGTGCAGATGTCAATGACTGTAAAGCAGTTTTCAAATGTATTCCAAATGCGCAAATTTCCTCCTCTCCCATAGTGTTTACAAGGTCCCGAAATTCAATCTGTCCTATGAGAATTTTCTTAACAACAAATGAGATCATGTGCCCCATTCGTTTCCAGCTCCCAGCGAGTTTTCCTGTCTTAGCATGTCCCAGTTCTCCCGTCCAGACATGTGCTAAGTAATGTCTTTGTTCATCTCTGTCAAAATATCTCTGCCAGGCTCTTAGCTCCCAATTTTCAGGGAGATGATCCTGGTGCATATTTTACTATTTCAAGGTTTAGGGCAACACAAACAAAGAAACACACAGGCCGCAGCATACGAAGGTGATTCCATAAATGGAGGAAAGCCCACCACCTCGCTCTGAACTTCGAGTCCAGTATGGCCTGCTCTTGACTCTGCAGAGGGACTCACTGGCAGGAGAAAATAAGACTGGATATTGATCTGTTGCATTTTCAACACTCACTCAGACAGTACCTAAGGAGGGGTCGTTCTGAAATAAGGGCAAGGTAAAACCTGGTGGGAGTGGCTCCTAAATCAACATTTAATGGGTATTATACGCAGATGCTGAAACCAATCCACTTCTCAAATTCTAGATGATAAATTTGGTTAAGCCAAAGGTATGTATGACTATATAACTAGCTGTTCAGTGAAGGCTGCTATGGAAATAATCCTGAAAACACTTGTAAATAAGAGCATTGTGGAAATGTGTGCATTGTACATAACCAGAGGTTATTTTTGTAAATGAAATAACACTGTTTTCTTGGTGGATACCAACATAAGTGGTTTAGAGTTCATGGAAATAATGAATGATGTACACCCTAAATGTCTTAAAATAAACTTGGTGAAGTACAAAATGCCCTATAGGTGATGGGCAAGAACCACATAACTGCTAAATAGACAGGAGATCTGTCTAGTCTGAGACCCTCACCAGGCATGATGTCCCACAGGGAGACCGACCCTCTACCTCTCTCAACTCTAGGGTCCTTAAATGACAGAATTCTGAAGGGACCCTTTGCTTCCACTCTCTTGCTAGCGGACCTCACTGTCTGCAGCTGGTTGAGAACTTGGGCAGGATGCCAGCCCAAAGGGGCAGCAATAACATTGACGGTGGTTCTTGCTGGCAGCCCAAGTCTCCCCATCTTAGCTTGGCCACAGAGTCCAGAGAGAGCCCAAACATTACCTCAGGGGGCAAATCTTGTATAGTCTCCCATGCTCACTAAAGAAGTACTTTAAGTTCACGTGACTGTAAATTTACTGAGTATATGCTGTGCTCCAAATGGTCCAGATAGTCCTAATCAATTAGAGCTTTATTAGTGGGAGAAGTGGCGGGCAGCACCCCACCTAAGGAGTTGCGTCCTCCAATTGTGGATGCTCTAATGTGTCTGCCCTTTGCCTCAGTGTTCTCTTGCTAGCTATGATATCCACATCCCTTTCCCCTTTGTCTGACCTGAATGTATACCACCTTTCCCAGCCCCATCTCTGCCACTCCCTACCCCATTAAAACTTCCTGTTCAGGGCCTACTCCCTCAGACCTGGGGTTTGTGCTGTGCTTCCTAATCACTGATCAGGGAAATACATGTTATGTGCTAATTATGTGAAGACCTACATTAAGGTCTCAGCTCTGCCATTTAGTAACTGTGGGACTATGGGTAACTCACACAATTCCTGCAGCGTACCTTTCTCAATTGTAACACTGCAGTGTATGCTTCTTCAAGGTGTGGCTAGGAGAACAAAATTAGCCTTTGGGAGCTGTAAAGCTGTATACATGTTTAAGAAGCTCTTTTCTCTTAGGAGATAATGAATGACTGTGTTGCTGACAAGATGATTATGAGGGTGGAGAAAAGATGAGGAAGGAAGATGCTTTTGTCCTCCCCCATACTCCTTCTGTGTGGACAGCTGCTTGCTCTCTCCACCTCTCTGCCCTGCAATCCACACCAGGAGCTCAAGTCAGCTCAAAAGCTAAGGTGGCCGCAGAACAGATATTCTTTTCCTACTGTACTGGCTCCATTTGTGGCACTAGAAAATGGGAAGAAAAGACCTAACCACATCAACACAAATAAACTAATTCTAACAATAAAAGAAGCCTTATATTTGTGAAATGCTCTGTAGTTCACAGTGTATCTTGCCATACTCTACCTTAATGCTCATAGTCAACCTTAACTACCAGGCCCATTTTATAGATAAGAAAACCAAGACCTGTCAGGGATTGGATTCCAATCTAGTTTTTCTGATTCCTAGCCCAGTTTTCTTTATATCACACCACAGATGCCCATGTTGGGAAACCTCCATAACCCCTGGTAAAAGATTTCTGTTAGTGTGAAAAATATATAAACGTATGGGAATTGGCCATTTCTCATCACATTACTAAATAAGCAAAAATCTGTACATTTTGAGGACGAGTGCGATGGGTTTCTTGTTCCTAGGTAAGAGACCATGGTGAGCAGGGACACAGTGCCAAATGCTTCATGTTATAGTTTAGATCTAAAATGTCCCCCCAAAGTCTCATGGATTTGGAAGGTGATTGGACTATGGGGGTGCTATACTCATCAGTGAATTCATCATCCATTGATGCATTCATAACTGAATGTGCTGTCAGGAGGTGGGTTACTTGGGATGTGGCCTGGAAAGGTATGTTCTTATCCCTGGCTCCTTCCTTCACTCTCTGCATCCTGGCTATCATGATGTGAGCAGCTTTCTTCCCCAAACCCTTCCACCTGCCCTTGGGAGCCAGTCAACTAAGGACTGAATCCTTAAAAAACTATGAGGCAAAATAAACCTCTCCTCCTCTAAGTTGTGAGTGTCAGGTATCTTGTCCCAGTGATGGAAAAGTCGCTAATACACTGTACTTACGTCATACACCTGGGGACTGGTCAGACATCGAGCTAGCAAGCCACACCAGGAAGGGAGAGTGGTGGTTAGTGGGGGGCCGCTGTGTGTAAGAGTGGGTTTCAAGTAACTTTAAAAAGAGAATTAAGGAACAATAGCTGCAAAGAAAACACACACATGACAAAATGTGTTTTAAAATCCCAGACAATAAGGTGTCCAATATTCTACTCACAAAAGCTCCTCCCTCCATTTTACCAGAACAGAACATGAAATACTTATAACCTGCAGCAATAGGAATGGAAGATTAAGATACGCCACATCAGTCTTAAATGGTGATTCTCAATTGTCAGTTAAACAGAGTACTGGGTTCATTAGAACATATTTGAGTTCTTTGTTTTGGGTCCAATTAGCATTTCAGCTTTTTTTTTCTTTTTTTTTTTCTTTTTGAGTCAAGGTCTCACTACATAGTTCAGGCTGTCCTTGAACTATGTAGCCCAGGCTAGATTCGAACTTACAGTGATCCTCCTGTCTTAGCCTCCCAAGTTCTGGGATTACAGGAGCGTGTCATCACATCTGGCAGCATTTCAGCTGCTGACACACAACCAGCTCAGGTCTTGCAAACAGGAATGGAGTGGGGGTTGTAGCCCTGGGGTTTCCTCTGCTCTCTTCTCTGCAAGTATCCTTGTTAAACTACTACAATGATGGCAAACCTTCTAGAGCTTTTAATGATACAAACAGCCCACTATGGCACATGTGATACAGGTTTCCCACCACTGGCCTAAAGGGTACACAGTGGAAATATTGGGATTGCACAGAACTTTAGAGGTAACCTAGGGCTACTAAAAAGAAGGAAACTGAGACTTGGCAGGATGAAATGATTTCAGTAAGGTTATTTGCACTGTTAACTCTCCCAATTTCCCATTACAGGACTATTCTTCATTCTTCCTGCCACCTCACTCCCAGTCTCTCTAGCATATGACTTCTCTACTTTGACATTACTGACATTTGGGACCAGATCATTCTTTGTTGTGGAGGACAGTGCTATGCATGGTAGGATGTTGGGAGGCATCCCTGGTCTGCTATCATTACATGCCAGGAGCACTCTTCTCCGCTAACCAAGTTGTGAAAAATATGTCTCCAAAAGGTTGCCAAATGTCCCCCAGGAAGAAAAGTCACCCTTGGTCAAGACTACTCCTCCCATATGAAGGTTAACAGACATGCAGAGATCCCAGAGTTTGTCAGGTAATGAACATTTGTGCTGCCAAATGCACAACCCAGTGTTGGAAGCAACAGTGAGCACCTGTCCCATTAGGAGACAGTTGGGCTATTGCTGAGACCCAGGGGATAAGCTATGTGCAAAAGGTAGAGTCTCAGGTGGCCACTTAGGCCTTCAGGGATGGCCAAGAGATGTTACAGGAAAAAAGACATTACAGTGGTCTGTGCCTAAAAGACTGGACTGTGAGTACACTATCACCTCCTGTCTTCATTTAGAGCAGCACCTGAGGGAAGCAGCTTTCTCTGAGGAGGAAAGAGAAGGGCCTGAGGTATACTTCTAGCTGAGACAAAGAGGACAGAAATGAGGGCTCACTGGAGCTCTTTGCAGACAGAATGAGCTCCCTTCTGACTGCTATCCTTTAATCACAGACCTGGGGACAGGTGTAGACCAGGCATTCATTCAGGCTGGGAACAGCCCTTACAGGGCCATCAGTTTTCTCCTGTCTTTTCTGGAAAGATGATATAAGATCCCATGTGTTCAATGATGAATAGCCAAGAGTCAGAAGATGCCTTTCAGTTTCCTGCTTTAGGCACTTCAAAGACAAGACCCCACTTCCCCAAATCCAGAAGGCCTAGAACAACTTCCTTAAAAAGAAACATATACAGAGTCTGCCAAAAAATGTATACACACTCCAGGAAAAGAAAAATAGCATGATTTTTATTCAACACATGGTGTTATCATTGTATGGGGGACCCTAGAAGATGTTGCGTATTGCAGAAAAACCACTACACTGATGGTTCTTAGAGAAGTAATTGAAAATGCACGTGCAGCAATCTCAATGGACCAAGGTTACCCAAGCAGCAGTTCACCAAACTAATAAATGTCTGGAAGCTAATAGCCACCACTTTGAGCACCTCTTGTAATTGTAAAGGTCAAAGGTAACTTGTATTAATTTCATGATGTCTCAATAAATTTAATATTAAAATATAACTTTTTCTTTTCCTGACATGTGTATGCATTTTTGGTAGACTCTGTATATACACACATGTACGTGTGCACATGCAGACTTTTAAATATTCAAATTGTTGAATGGAAACTTTAATTGTATTTGTCCCATCCTCATTGGTCTGGTAATTGACATTAAACTTTATATAATACAGTTTTTCTAGTTCTTGATTCAGAGATTTTTAATACCCTCTTATGAAGAATAAATGTAATTAATTTTCACTCCTGTCTCCTCTCCAGTTATAATTAATTTTATACTGCAAATATATTTGCTATTTCATAATAAGAAAATTTTCTATGCTTTGTCTACAGATTAAGTGTAAGTGTTAAAAACCAATAAAGGAGTATTTCTAATGTCATTGGGCTTAGGATGTAGCTTAGTGGTAGAGCACTTACCTAGCATGAGTGAGGCCAAGTTTGATACCCTGCATGGAAGCAATAATGTCACTGTATGAGTATTATTTACTGTAGAATCAAGCAGAATAGTTGGAAAGATATAAAAAGAAAAAAACATTGTTATTTAAACTATGTCAGTTAGAAGAGAGTCCTGGAGTGTCTTATTAAACAAAGGCTCTTTTAATTTTTTTATGCTGTTTACCTCTCAGGATTATAATAATCACTACTTTTTCAATGTTATCTCCTTTTCTGGATTTGGTTTTATTTAATCCTTAGATTATTTTTCTTCCTTTTTATAGGGTTTGCATAGTGCTAAACTTTCTGAATTCTTGCATGTCTGAAAATCACACTTACTTACGTATAGAATCGTATGTTTAGACTTCTTTTTTCATCCCAGAATTTTAGAGGAATTGGTCAACTGTATTCTAACATCCAATTTTGTTGATGAGAAATTTGATTTCCTGTCCTTTGGAATTCGCCTGTTTTTCTCTTCAAGAGCATTAAAAGTTCCCTCTCTTTCTCCTGTAATTATGGAATGCCCCCAGAATATATTCATCCTGCTCACACACTTGGTGAGTGAGTCCTTGACCTCTGGAGACAAGTGTCTTAGCTAAGGGAATTTTTCTTCTATTATTTCTTTGGTATTTCTTTTCCTCCATGGGCTCCATCTTTTCCTTTCAGATCCTGTTAAATGATTTGGATCATCTACACTGGACCTACATTCTGACATTCTTCTATGTCTCTGACTTTGTGTGTGTGTACAGTACTGAGGATTGAACATAGGTGTTGTACTGAACTACACCTCTAGACCTTTTTCTTTCTTTTGAGACAGGGTCTTGCTAAGTTGCCTCAGCTTCACATAGTGCTGGGATTAAATGTGTGCTACCACACTTGACTCCATCTCTTGACTTTTTGTTCTAATTCTTGAAGGTTTTCCCTCAACCTTATCTTCTAAATCAACAGTTTGGGCTCTGCCATATTTAAGTTGTCAAACTATTCGTTATATTTTTAAATTTTCAAACCTTATTTTTGATGTCCAAGAATTTCTTTTTGTTTGGTTTATTCATTTTTCTAATAATTTGCTCTTGCATCGTGACTGGGAAACTCTGTACTCTTTCTAAGGATTTTATTAGAAAACAGTCAAAGTAAACATTTGGAATTATTATTTTGACAATCCCTCTCTCCCTCTGTATTTATTTAGTCTCTCAGTTCATCAGGCAGGTTGGGGATTCTTACCACAGCAAAAGTGGGGGTTGGGTTACTCTAGGGAGAAACATTTTGGTATCTTAAAGACCTGTTTTTCTACTATGCTCCACCAGGCAGTGTTTCTACTTAAGGAGAAAATGAACAGCTACCAGTTAATCTGCTATCACAGGAAGTACCTGTAGCAGCTGTTCTTGACTGAATAACCTGAATAAGCAGGCTCCAAACTCATTTCTGTTTTGGGTACATTTGCTCTGCTAAAATTCCCTTTCCTGAGGTCTTCCAAGTAGTCAAAAATACTTCTTCTGTGATTTTAATTAGGCAGCGTTTGTACACAATGAGCCTCTCATTTTAAACTGGAAGCCTGTTTTCTCTATTTTAAGGGCTGCTGGGGGAAAGTCCCACATCCTCTTATGCCAGCCTGTGGGAGTTATTAATATCTAGCTAACCTCTCTTCTGATGTATCCAAAGCCCATGTTATCTTTTTCTTTTCTTCCCTCCTTCCTTTCCTTCTAAATGCTAGGCAAGTGCTCTACCACTGACCTACATCCCCAGTGCTGCCCATGTTTTTGTTAGATCATTTATAATGATATGGAACTAAAGAATGAATCATAGGCACCTTCCTCATTTAAGTCTTCAGATTTTTTTGTGCCTGCTTATGTAATTCTGTTTCTCTTCTGCAACTTAAAAAGAAGAAATTCCAAAATCATTAAAATTTATTCAGATGGAATTTTAAAGATCACTTCTTCAAATAATCAATTTCTTATCACTTTAGCATTTTGTCCCTCTCCTACAGTCTCTTCAATTTTCTCTACGTCCTTTACAAGCCCAGGGAGCAATATGTGTTCTAGATTACAATCTAGATAAAGCTTGTGTGGATTAGATAATCCCTGCAGACTCCATTTCAGTTAGTAGCAAACACAGTCATTTGGACTAACCTTTCCACTGAGAACAACTGGAAGATACGGGCAAAATAAAAAGAAGACAAAATTATCTACTTGACAGCCTCAGAAAGCTACCAAGGCAGTGAAGATGACCAGAATCTGGAAGGTTTGAAACCCACGAGGTGAGACTCACACAGGCTAAGCCCCATTTTTCCTCAAAGCACCTGAGAAACAGCAGAGAATCTGCCAGACTCACAAAAGGCTGACTGAGTTTGAGAAAAACTGGAGTCCAAAGCCTACAGAGGCAGCAAATGTAAACACCCCAGGCCTTAGGGTGAGACCCTGGACAAAAAAAACAAAGAGAAAACAGACTGACCTTCATTCACAGTAAAAGCCCAGTTTCAAATTACTTATATATTTTTTCTCCATATCAGGAATTAAACTCAAGACCTTGCACTTGCCAGGCAGGCGCGGTGCCTCTGAGCCAAATCCCCAGCCCTCAAATTACCTTCTTTCTGACTGGATTAAGATGATCTGGAATAGCTAAATGGCCCCGTCATAGCTGCTCAGCAGACATAAGTTTAAATCATCTCTGAAGGATAATGACCTCATCCAGAGTATCTCGAATGATCTCTAGATGTTTTCATTGCCCATGTCTGTCACTCAGTAAAAACACACAATCAGAGAAGATATAAAACAAAGCTTCTAGATGATAATAACATGGGAAATTAGCTTCATGACTTTGGGGTAATGATTTCTGAAACAGGACAGAAAAGATACTAACCAGAACAGAAAAGATCAACCAATAGGATTAAGAACTATTGTTCATCACAAGATGAGCAGGAAAGTTACAGAGAGAAGATATTTTTGTAACTTATAATCAGCTAAGACTCATATCCAGAATACATAAAGAACATTTACAAATTAGTAAGGAAAAAAGAGACAATTCAGTAGAAAAATGGATGACAAGTGAATAGGCACTTCATAAAAAATAATACCAAACAGCCCATAAATATATGAAAAGGTGCTTACTTCTATTAATCATTAGAAAACTTTAAATTAAAATCACAAGGCAATACCACTGTAAACTCACTACAATGGCTAAAATTTAAAAGATGGATAATATCAAATGTTTGTGAAGACATGGAGGAACTACAACTCTTGTACACCCTAGATGGAAGCATGGGAAATAGTACCACCACTTTGGAAAACTGGTACTATCTTCTAAAGTTGAACCTACACATGTCCTATGGCCCAGAAATGTCTCTCCTAGTATGTTTCCAAAAAATATATGCATTGTGCATCAGGTATGTACAAGAATGTGTACAGCAATATTTTTCATAGCAGCCCCAAATGGAAAACAGCCCACATGTTCATCAACAATAGAACAATAAATTGTTATATATTCATACAATGAAATACTATGAGGAAAGGGGAGCAAATTAAAGCTACATGTGAAATGGATTAGTCGTAAAAATACGACAGATACCAAACTATGCAGAGTGTATATAAAGATAAAAACAGGTAAAAGTATTAAGTGTTGATAGAAGTCAGAAGAGTGGGTACACTTGAGGAGGAGAGTAACTGGGTTACGGCATGAGTGGAGCTGGTAATTTTGTGTTTCTTGACCAGTATGGTGTTAAAATGAGTGTGTTTATTTGATAACTTTTAAAGCACATATGACTCGTGCCCCTTTTTGTGTATCTCAAGGTATGATAAAAAATTCAGTGAATGTTTAAATTTTAAGTTACAATAAAAGACAAATTGCCATTAATTTCTCTCAAAATATTTCCTCTTGCCTTGAACACACTTATGCCATAGTTCTTGCCACTTTCTTTGTTTTTGGTACCAGGGATAGAATTCAGGACCTCGAACTTGCCAGGCACTGTGCTGCTGAGCTATATCCAAGGCCCCAGTTCTTGCCACTTTCTGAAGCAGTTCCGGGGCCAGGGATTTGCCTCAGTGGTTCCGCCACCTGCTTCACAAGCACAAGGTCCTGAGTTCTATCCCCAGTAACACACACACACACACACACACAAAAAAAAAAAAAAAAAA